TCGCCATGATGATCAACAAATCACAGGGCCAATCTTTGACTATTTGTGGCCTCAATCTAAAAAAATGCGTTTTTTTCTAATGGTCAATTGTACGTGGCATGCTCACGTGTTGGCAAACCATCCGCATTATTTGTTCTTGCACCTGACCAAAAAACAAAGAATGTCGTTTACCACAAATGCGATTAATAAATTAATCAGAGTGTATCCCAACCTGAACAACATAGCTTTTAACTAATGGATAGCGCAATGCAACGTTTGCCGGGCCAACCAGTAGTAATACTAAATATAAAGTAAAATATATGAATGTGTTCAGCTCAAAAACTACTCGAGTTCATGTGAAATTAAAAAGTTCATATAAACACAAAGTTTGTACATTCACACAACAAGACTGTTTTATATTTGATTTATCAGAAGTCTTCCTTAGATGTATTCTTGACTATCCTCAAATGTGAGTAGCTTTTGTCTGCGATTAGGTTCGGTTCTCCATAAGTCTTTAAACGTTATTCGTTTCATGTTTAGGTTAAATAAAAAGATTCGACGTCAGGTATTTAGATAAGCAGTTATTGAGTTGAAATTACATTTGTAATTAGTTATATATAATAGCTTATGATGAATTTTTAGATTGCTCTTGAACTACTTTAACTCTTAATTAATCCTTAAACTTTTCTCTGAAGAAACGGACTCATGCGCGTTTTCGGCTTTCACTACCTGTTTTATTGTAACATTTAAAAATTTTTAGGTAGTTCCATGTTTGCATTCGTAAATCACATTTATTATAACATTGAGTAAATTATTTTTGAGTGTATGTGTTTATTAATGGGTAACTCGGGTTTATGTTTTTGTTTGTTTCAATCATTTGTAGAGTAATTTGTATTCTATAGGCATTTTTTTTGTTTTTGTGTTTGTTGTACAGAAAAGCATACTATGCCAGACATTTACAATTATATCAAGAGATAAAACAATATTAAAAATAACTAATTAAATAAATAATTCCATACTACAAAACCAATTCCTAATATATAGCGACATTTTATCAGCTCCGAACTACTGCTCGTTACTTATCTGTCTTCATCCATACGATTGTACACAAATATCGCTTTTTCCGATCGGATAATATTACTCTATTATAAATACATTTTTTTTAATTACGATTTGCTTGACTTTTAGGTATCTTCTGCTTTCGTTTGTTGATCTTTTTGTAAATTTTGAGTTACTATTGGAAGTACAAGTAATAATTTGTTTTGTTTTTTTTTAGTTATTGTTTTTTTCTTTTTCAATACAAACTAAATATGATTTATTTAAAAAAAATTAGATTAAGCATTTAAATAATTAGCAATAATAATAATTACAATATTTATAATAATAATGCATAAGTATATTTATAACATATTTTATATGAACCCTTACAGCTGTTCATATCTTTTTCATAACTAATTCAAATCGTAATAGTAGCCATATATTTTACTTTGTGTTTACAATCAATTTTACATTTTATATTGTGTTTTTCTTACTATTGCTTTTGTTTATATTTGCATTTGCATTTCGTGGGGAGGAGCCGTTCTCGCATTACTGCTTATGCTTAAAGATACCACGACGCTTACGTAGTTAGCCTTAGAGTGTAACAAATTGGAGTTGGAGAGCCAAACTAATAGACATTGTTGAAATGGCTTTTCGGAGCACGTATTGAATATTAAACAATTAATATGTACAATTAGAAATATGTATAGATAAATACATATATGTTTATCCATAAGAGCTATACACTTCATTCGTTTTATGGTTAACCTGAAAAACTGCAAGGGGCAGTTGCAGTTCCAGTTCAGACTGTTGGTTTGATCTGATCTCATGGCGTGAGCAGCCAGCCACCAGCATGTGCACTTACACACAAGTGTGTATACCGATATATGGGTATACAATCCATACAATGTACTGGTATTCCAGATTTGAAGATATACTATAATATCATGCAAATATATAGCGCGTAGCCTTATTCCTACTCTCCTCTCTTGAATTCAAAATAGAAATAAATGGTACGCCTGCATCAATTTCTGTCTCCAGTACCAAGTTTGACGTCTACTTGGTGGCATCGGTTGTGGACCGCCGTCGATTGACAGCTGCCTGTTGCTGCTGCTTGGCCGCTGCCAGAGCTGTAAGGGTGCGCTGACTCATTACGCTAGCGTTTGTGGGCGCCGACCGACCAGGAATTTGAATGTGCTGTACCTGTTGATGTTGCACTTGACTGGGACTTGGCAGAGTCTGGGAAGTTGCGGTGACGGTGCTCTGGTTGAGTATTCGATGCTGCTGCTGATGTGCTTGCTGCGTCGGCGTTTTCACAGCCTTCAATTGCATTTTCTGCGCAGACATCACAATCGGCCCGGCACCTATGTTCGTGCTATTCGTAATGGCGTTGTCTACAAAGAAAGAGTATTCGGGTTGGAGCATTCATCTACTGGAACAGTTTCATTACAGACGACTTACTGTTGACACCCGTTGTTGAAATCTTTAGCGTCGAGCTACCAATCTGACGCTGTGCGGTGAGCAGCTGTCGACTGCTAGCTAGCTGCTTGGTCCCCACGACCTGGACGTTGCGAGCTCTCGGTTGTATAGCTCCGGCTGCTGCTGTCGATACAACACCTACACCACCACCACTTGAGGTACGTATTGTTTGAGGATTTAGTTTCTGTACTCCGGCACCGACTAGTTGAGCTGGAAGCAGAAAGCAGAACGGGCGTGCGGGGATATTTTGTTGTTGTTGTTTAGGTTACAATGAATCTGTTGGTCAGAGACGATAACTAACCGCCCCAGAGGCCAAGGAAAGGGCCAGAGTTAGCTGGTGCAAGTGTTAAACTGATGGCAGTGGTTAAACACAAAACACATAAACAGTTTAGTTGCATGAATATCGGATCGAGTGGTTAAGAGGTTTATGTGTGAACAAGAAACGAAACGAAAATAATCGAAACGAAACGAAAACAGAGAGTAGAAACAGAAAAGAACAAAATTAAGCATGTTCGTTCAATAAATAAATATATCACTTATATATCAAAAGAAAACTTAATATATAATTTACGAGGATCAATCATAACAATACAATCATAACAGGTAGACAAGCAATCTGCTCCGCGAATCATCATCTTATCTGCTGCCAGTGGCACCACTTACCTATAGGAAGCGTGAGCATAGCTGTCGTAGCTCCTGTTCCACCTCCGTTGCCGCCTCCACTCGCTCCTCCACTGCTTGCTGAATTGTTTGTGATGACTACCGTTTGGGTGCCACCCACCGACGAGGGTAGGCTGACGATTGTTCCTGTGGGCGGGGCATGCTGCTGCGGCTGAGGCGAAGATTGCGTCGTCTGCAGCGTAATGGAGTGAGGCAGTTGCTGCTGCGTCGACACAGGCACCGAGACCAGCACACTGCGCTGTTGAGTCTGAGATGGCGCCAATGATCCGCTGGCAGTGCCTCCACATGTCGTGCTTTGCTGTTGTGAAGATTGCTGTTGCACCTGCACTGGTGTTTGCAGACTGTTGCCGGAAAACTGCAGTGAAATGGGCTGTGTAAAGCCTGGAATCTGGACCTGTACATTTTGAAGACCTGCAAAGTTCGCCATAGCACCCTGCAGCTGGGACAAATTGATGCCCTGCAGATTCAACGTCGCCGTCGTCTGCTGTTGCTGCTGGGGAGACGCCGACGGCTGGGGATGCGGACTCGACATTGGCGAGTGTATGGATGATGTGGCGGGCGAGTGCACAAGTGTCTTGGTGATGAATTGCTGCTGTTGTTGGTTCGACTGTGCCGGTGATGGTTGCTGTGGCGACATGTGGGGCATGGCCACTGCAGACACGGCTGACACATTTGTTGTCACGTTGCTGAGTCTTTCAAGCAAGACCTGATTCGGGTGCGTTTGCGACGACTGCGAATGATCCGAGCCCGACGGCGAGGGCGTGGCTGCATTTGTGAGTAATGCATTCAGAGCCCCGCTGCCTCCGCTTGATGCAGACGATAAGTTCGTGGGCACAGCAAAGCCACTCGCATTTGAGGCATTGGAGTCGCTACCAGGTGAGGGTGCTGCCATGCCCACCACAATAGCGTTTGGTGGCGCAGTGGTGCTATCCCTTCGCAACGAGCTCAGAAGGCGCTGCTGCTGCTGTTGGCCAGTATTGAGTATTTTGAGGCTACCACAAACGCCGCCTGTGCTGACAGTGTAAGCGCCATACCCAGTTGGAGGGTTCGTCATCACTGCCGGAGGCGATGCCAGTTGCGAGGCAAGCGCAGACATGGACACGCGCACCGACTGACTGCCATCAGTAGCCTGTTGCGCACCTTGACCTTGAGCTTGGTTAAGATTGACGGCTATAAGATTACCAGCTGAGTTAGCTCGAAACGTTGTTCCACTACTTGCGCCAACTATATTAATTTTACGGTTCGAATTCAGAAGACTCTGCAAAACCTCACTCGATGGCTGCTTGCGTTGGGCATTTACCAGTGTCGGCGTTCCGCGCGTCGTCTGCACATAGGTTGCTGTTGTCGCATCCACATTGGCGGGAACAGATTGCTGTTGCTGCTGTTGTTGCTGCTGATGCTGCACCAACGTCAACGTTTGCTGCTGACCTGTCGACGACGTAGTGAACGTGCCACTAGCGACTGGCGTGCTCGTCATGGCCGCTGGAGCGCTATTCAGCAAGTTTAGTATAGAGGCATTGCCCGAGTTCTTTAAAGTTGTTGCTGGACTGCCGCTGCTGTTGCTGCTAATGTTGATGATGGGCGTCGAGTTGGCGTTGGAAGTGGGCGTGCCGCTCGCTAATGGTTACAAATTGAGCAAAATGTATATATAAGCATGTGTAATAACGTGTTGTATTGCAAGTAAATGACTCACAGTGCTGCTGTTGTTCTTGTTGTTGATGGTGCTGCTGTTGTTGTTGTTGGTATTGGTTAGCAGAGTTCATGATGCTGGTGACTATGGCATTTATCGCAGGATTGTTGTTGATTACATTGTTGTTTGTGGCAGTTATTTGTTGTTGTTGTTGTTGTTGCTGTTGCTGCTGTTGTTGTTGTTGTTGCTGTTGCTGCTGTTGTTGTTGTTGTTTCTGTAGCAGCTGATGAGTTGTAACAATCGCCGACCCTTTTAGTTGCGATTGCTGAAATACAGAAAACAATTATTTAACTATTTAGATTTAAGCTATAAATGTTTTTGGCAATTAAATTATGGATGTTCTTTAATAAATGAGAGTTCGATGATTACAGTACTGGCTGATAATTATTCATGTAGCGAATCGCCCAGCCCTTTTCAAATCCAATACTAGCTGAAGTACAAGCTCTTAGAACAAGCTAACGGTAACCTAGCTGCACAATTTACGCTTACCAGGGGCGTGGCAAACCGGACATGAAGATATAGTGATTTTCCAAATTCAGCTATATTTTGAACACTATTGATGCTAGAGACCTCTCGGGCTGGATATATGTCCGCCTACAGAGGGCGTGGTAAACCGCAAAAGTTTATATATCCTAAAGTATAAGAGCTATAAGCTTCAAATTTGGATAGTATAGTTACTAGTTCATCAAATAATATTGTTAGGCCTCTTTAGGTGCGTGGCATATAAAAAATACCCTGTAATTTTTTTCATTCTTTGCGCGTAAGCATCCAAATTTTGCAGCTAGGTTACAGTTAGTTTGTTCTATGAGCTGGCCAAAAATTAAGTGTCTACGCTTGGTAGGGGCGTGGAAAATCGAGAAAAACTTAGTTTTCTACAGTACGGCTGAGTATTCCGCAGCCGGTAACGCCCGACTGCAACATTCTTACTTATTTCAGCCTCATTGGAACACTTTTCGCCCTCAACATGTAATAAAACACATTTCAAGTACTAGAGACTTGAACTGAAAGTCTCATTAAGATTGCACATTTAGAAATTAAATTATTCAACAAATAAATTCTCATACTATTGCCAATACTGCAGCGCAGTCGCTGCTTACTGCGCAGTTAGCAGAGCACGGGCTTATGAGTGCGTGTGGATGCATGTGTACGTATGTGAGCATAAAAGAAGTGCAAAAGGATTATAATATCAGATGGATGGCTCAGGGTGTCTCCTAGTCGAGCAGTCTCGACTAGAGCACTCTTACTTGTTTATACTTACGAGGATTGGCACGTTGGAGTTAAGCTGGGCGCGCAATGCGGAATTGGCACCTATTGCCGTGTTCAGCTGGGTTGCTGTCGCCTTTTGTTGCTGTATATTAGCTGGATGTATAGTAATGCCTGAGTGTTGCATTGTTGTATTTAACTGCTGCTGCTGGTGCTGCTGCTGTTGCGGCTGTTGTTGCAGCAGCACCAGTGATCCGTTGCCCAGACTCACTTGATGTGTAGTACTAGCGGATGTATTGCTGGTTGTAAGGAGTTGTATATGCGGATGTTGTTGCTGCTGCTGCTGCTGCTGTTGCGTTGGCTGCTGTAAAATGCTGTTGTTGCCACTACCGAGTTGAGGCTGCTGCTGATGGACTTGCAGTGTGCCATCTGTATTAAATTGTGTAGTGGCAACCGCTTGTTGTTGCTGGCGAAACGTTTGTTGCAGACCCGCCACCTTAGTAACGATTGCGGGTTGCCGGGACAGAGTCACATTTGGATGTGTTTGCGCGACATGATGCACTGTAGCGGGTAGCTGTTGTGGCTGCTGACTAAACTGTCGTTGTTGCTGCTGTTGTTGTTGTTGCGGTTGTTGTTGCTGGTGTTGCTGCTGCTGTTGCTGTTGTTGCTGCTGCTGTTGCTGCTGCAGCAACAATCGTTGTTCATTTGTGAGTCCAGTGTGGGTAACAATTGGCACATGTCCGGGTATAAGGTGCGTGATCTTAACAGCCTTGCGTCCCTCTTCAGTAAATATCTCCCGGAATTGCTGAATATACCGATTCGCATGGACACGGGTGCCAAGTGCGAATCGACACGATTCTCCATTACGCTCGCCCTCGCGATAGTCGCGGTCGACGTACAGTTCGCCCAGATATTCGGCATCGGAGGGTCGCTGGAAAATAGAGAGCTTTATGTGATACAAAGCTCGCCGGCCCTCGTTCGCCTCGCGTTCCGTCTCCAGCACATATTCCTCGATGAGCTGCGGCTGAAAGTTGTGTCGGCAACTCGCCTTGCAGCCTTCCTTGCAGGCATCGCTGAACTCGTTCAGTGGCTCGAAAGTCTTCGCGTACTTCTCCACACTTATTACGTGTTCGGGAACCTTCAGCTTGACCGGGTAGTCTAGGGTGGGTGGTCTTATTGGTCTGATGACATCGTGCGGTCGCCGTGGCACCTTTGAAGTGAATGAAGAGAGCATGGCACCCACCAATGGGTTGTTGCTGGGCGCTGTCGCGGGGGTTGCATTCGCTGTGCTGTTGCTTGAGGTACGCGGACGCTGACGCAGCCGTGTTAGATAGTCGCAAAGCTCGAGGCCTTGGTGATGCGTGAACTGATCTAGCTTGCGTTTGCGATTAATGGCCACCTGCGTAAACTTTTTCATTTGGCGGCGCATTTCGTGCGAGTTGAAGCGTTGACGCTCGTGCTGTGCATTGATAGATTGACGACCTATACTTGGGTCTGGCTCCAGACACAGTGGCTCCGCCGTGGCCAGCACCAGTTGGCTTTCGATCGTTAGCCGGTCCTCTGGCGTTGAGCCGGCCCAGCCCAACGAACTTCCCAGTTGCTGCACGTCCGCGAACAGGGTCGCATTGCTGGGCCGCAGTAGGATGTGCTTCATATCACAGATATTTGTTGAGGTGGCAAATGTCTGGCGAAAATCGCGTATTTGCGCAATTACACAGCCAGCATAGAAGACGCTGGGCTTGGCATACACCCGCGACCCGTCGCTTCCATCTTGTGGGGAGTTCAGAGTGACTGTTTCGGCACTCAGCAGATCCATGAGGAATTCGGGCAGGAGTTCGCGATCGATGCACTGAAGGAGCAAATCGTTTTCATAGGGCCAACGCAGTACTTCAACCAAGCCATAGCCAGATGATACAGGCATTGATGCTGTGTCTCCAGCCGATGCATCGCTTTCGTTCAGTCTGGACTTCATCCTGAAAAGATTATTGCTAGCGTCGCTATCGGCATGAGCTTTGTTGCGACTAGTGATGCTAGTCGAGTTCTCGATGGTGTGGTTTCCATGGATGTGAGCGGGATCCGTGACGGTCCACTCGTTTGTAAGTGGGTTAAGCATTGTTTGCTCATCGTAGTGGAGTGCCAGGGAGTAGCCCTTGTTACCTGGGTACAAGTTGACAACAATGGTGTTTAATTGCTCGCACTCAACAAGTCTATCTAGAATGAAGGAACGGCTCCTCTGCTTCAGCTGCAAATGATAAATAACAAGAATAAATTAATTCAATGTTAAATCAGTTTGTTACAATCTTACCCCAGTTTCCGCGAAATGATTTAAATCGTTACTTAGCAGCTGCAGATATAGCTCCTTGATTTTGTCGTGGATATTAAAAAACTTCGTGGTCGATTCTCGTTTGTTGTTCACTGAGTTGGATAAGGTGCTACTGGCATTGTTGTTAGTATAGGTATTGGAGCCAGGTCCGGCGCCAGCACGAGGTGATACAGACGTTGGAGCTGTGCTGCGACTAGAGTAACTACACTCCTTGCTATTGTTGTTGTTGCTACTGCCTCCTTTAGACCGCTTGCTAGGCGATGATGTGGGAGACGACAGTACATTTTGGTGGTTGTGAGACTGATGGATTTGCATGTGATGATGATGCTGTTGATTGTGACTGCTTGTAATGCCGGACGAAGCATTTGAGATGCTTTGGGGGAGCCGTCTATCAACCTTCTTGGTGTTGCTGTAAGATTGCTGTTGCTGTTGGTGCGGCTGCGGCTGCGGCTGCTGCTGTAGGTGCTGAAAAATATGTGACGATGTGGCGGTGGTGTTATTGCTATTTAAACTGGAATTGACACCCGGTGGCGTGGACAGTAGCAGGTCAGGAACGACTGGTGAAGGCGATGTGATCGAGTTCAAATTCGAGAGCGTCGTTGTTGATGAGGAGCATGATGAAGGGGACGGCGCTATAGCAATCCCAGAACAAGGCAGCCCGGCTGATGTTGCAGATGAAGCGGATGGCTGCTCCGAGAGTATGACAATGTTGCCACTAGCAGGCACCTCAGTAGGCGATTCGTCGTCATCGAATATGCAGATTGGCGGTTGCGCAGGTATTTGAGGTATCGCCTGTAATAAAGATCGTACGCTGACGGGGACCGGAGCAGCTGATACTTGTTGTGGTTGCTGCTGTTGCTGGCTATTGGTGATGGCAAGCGTGGATGAGCATGTGGACTGCAACACCGTGTGCAGCTGGTGGTATGACTGCGGCTGATTCTGTGGCTGTGGTGACCCTTGGGAGCCTTGCGACGCTTCGTAAACAAATTGCTGCTGAACAGCAGAGCCAACGGCATGCGGTAAGCCCTGTGAGCTGGCATTCACTGGATTATCGCCTTTTAGCTTCTTAAGCGTGTCATTTATTATAAACTATTATAAACAGAAATTGATACATTGTATTTGATAATTCGAAACCACAAGCAATCTCTAATACTCACATCTGCTTCTTGGCATGAGGAGTCCAAGCTTTGCATGTTGCCAGTAAGGAGTGCAAGTCGATGTTGCAGTCCCAGTATTAGTTCCAGTTCCAGTAGCACAGCCGAGTTTCAATTCAATTACCAGCGACGACGACATTCAAATCAAGGAGCGAAAACTGTACGAGAGCAGTAGTTAGGCGCCTCCCCAGGACCAGTTCAGTTGTTTTCATCGCTCCTCCTTGTGTTCGCAGGTGTCTGCCAGTCGAGTAACAACTACTCAACAACAACAACAACTCGTTATTTTCTATTTCGATTCCTTTTTCAATGCAATTTCATTTAAGAAGCGCGCATTGCCATTTGAAATTGCGCCCTTTTGCACAGTAGTCTTTGAATATTGTTATTGTTAAGTATTAATACGCTTATCCTTCTCCCAAATGAAATTTCTTTACTCTTTTTCTGTGGCTGCTGCTTTGCGTGACATTTTCTCTTCGTCTTCGTCCCTCTTTTGCCTTAGGTCTTTTTGCCTTTTTACACACACACACAACACACAAACTCCAGGCTTTAAACGCAATGCATGCACACGTTATTTACTTCAGCTCTTCGATAAGTGACTTAGTTTTATTTTTTTTCATTTGTTTAATGTTTTTTTTTTAGGTTTTATGCAGAAAGTTTAGTTTTGCAATGGTACGTTCTCGCCGAATACGCGTACACACTGGCAGCCAATAGTTTCGCTATCGATATCGATAAATGTACAATTTAGGCTTGGAATGATGATAATAATTTTGAATTAAAATTGAAAAAATCGACTCTACTCAGATTATTCAAATTATATTTTACATATAAATTATAGTCATGTAATAATAAAAACCCCTGCAATAATTAATGATTATGAATCTAGCCGTTCAATTCCTATATTTTTATTTTTAGAAAGAGCAACACTGGCAAACGATTATCGTATACGATAGTTGAGTAGGTCGTTGTGTACACGCCAGTGCTGCCAGAAAGTAGGAAATGACAAACAAAATTCGGAATCATGCAACCATTCCCGCGCTTTGAAAATTTAAAAAACAATCCTAATAAAATCAATACAAAACTCGAGAATAGATTTCTTTTAATTTTTATTGTAAGTCACTTACACAATAAATAGAGTGCTTTTAGAGAGTAATGTGTATTTGTCACTCACATTTTTTTTAAGTTTTATAGGATTCATTTGGATAAATATAAACTTACAATATTTTCATAATTTAGAATTATGAAAAAAAAACATGCGTAAATAGAATGAAAATATTTATGCACAAATGTTAATACATATTAAGGATTAGTCTATCTATGCAACTATGTATGCATTAAGAATACCAATTTTTCACATGTACGTATACGCTTTTATATATAAATGTATATATAATAAAATCATAAGAAACTTGCAATAATACACTCGCATTTGAAAAATTTTCACATCTTCGTCATGAGATCTTTAAAAATCAATTGTGTAGTTTAAAGTTAGAACAGCATTTGAGATGGTTTCACTCCTTGTGGGCCTGCAACTTTTTCCAAGTGTCACCCAGTGCCTTGGCAAAGTGATCGTCCACAGAGGCCTCAGTCTTGGTGAATATCGAAATGTTTGTGGATGAGGTAGGAGAAGCGGGTGGCGTATGTGTCGACGATGCAGCGGCTAGTCCCGGTTCGGCTTTCACACGTATTATAGCTGGCATTGTGGGCGTCGACGCCATTACGCTGGAATACGCTGGTGGGGGTGTATTACATCTGGGTGGAGTATGATGAGGCATGTCTAAAGCTTTTTCTCTCTTGGTTGCCGGGGTATCTAATATTTGACTGGCGCCAGCCAGTGGTATCGGTGAGCATGACAAAGCGGAAGCACTTCGAGCGGGTAGCGGCGACAGGGACAATGGCTCTTTCTGGGGCGGTGGCAACTCATGCTGCGGCGATATCGGTGCCGGCTGCAACGTGGGTGAGTGCACGATGGGCAGGCCCAGCTTAGACAGGGGCAGTGGCAGCGGTAATTGCGACTGATTTTCGTAAGTTGTTGCTGTTGGTTGTTGCCGATAGGCTTGTGGCGAGATCTGCTGCATTGGTGTTCCGTTCCCAGCCGCCGACTGCAACTGCGTCTGCGCCTGTGCTTGCTGTGACTGTTGCTGCGACAGCGGCTGTGGCAGCGGCTGTGGCGACGGCGTGGGCGAGCTGGATGCTGGCGATTTCAACAGGGCTGCATAGCCAGGTCCCAGGGAACGCCGGAAATGCTCGTCGATGTCACAAATTGGATCGGACTCTGCATGCAAATAGGATGAAACGTAGATTACATATATGGAATCACAGCAGAATCAGAAGTTTTCAACCTACCCATACTGCGATGGTCATGCTCGTGGCTAGAGAGCGAATGATGGTGGTGGTGCTGGCTTTGGTGCGCATGCTTCGGCTGCTCCCGTTTGGGCGGTGCTTGGGTAATAACGCTCGGCCGGCTGGCGACGTAACAGTGGCTGTTTGCGCCACCAGCCAATGGCTCACGGTACGGTGGAGGCGGTGAAGCGCGTTGATGCTTCACAGTGTTCGACGTCACGGTCATATCAATGGGGCTATCCATGTCAGGTTCCCTCTCCCGCTCCATTTCACTGTTTGAATCGTGAACTTGATATTCGGCGGCAGCGGCTCGTTGACGTCGCTCGCGACGCCACTTGTTGGTTGGAAGCTCTTTTGAAGACAGTCGTGTTTCTGTAATGGATAAGAGACAGGACTTGGAATAAATTCTCTTTCATTTTATTATTAGCTTGGTTTTTTATTTATTAGAAGAATTTGTTTTAGATAATATTACTGAGCGATATTCTCTGTGTCACCAGAGATCTTGCTCGGTTCCTTTGTTGTCTTTATATACGGTCTTTCGGACCTCTGTCTCGCCGTCTTGAACTTTGATCATGATGTGGGTGTAATGAAACATATGGAGTTGAATGTATCTGCCGGCATCGCAGCCACATTCAAGTTTGTTGCTTAAGTCTTTCATTTTTTCGGGTTTTTCAATGAGTTTCCGCTCAAAAGTCAGAGAGCCAATTCAGATTAAGCGACGGCAACGGTAAGACACTCAGGCTCAGACTTAATTTTAGAGACACGCAGGAGGTGAGCACAACAATATATTACAAAAAAAATAATAGTAATAATAAATAAATAAAAAAAATTAAAAAAAAAAACCATTATACCCTGATTTCCCATTTTCAATAAAAATAATAATACTAATAATAAATAAATAAAATAAAAAACAAGTAAGCAAGCTCTAGTCGAGACTGCTCGATTAAGAGATCCCCTGAACCCTCCAAGCAACTGATATTTTAATAATTCGGACACACACACGCATACAAACAAACACACGCACACACAGACACACACACGCATATACATTATATATGTTAACTTATTTGTTGAATAATTTTATTTCTAGACGTACGATCGTAATGAAACTTTTAGAACGTAATCAAAATGTTTAAATGTATGTGTATACCGAAGCACGAGTCTCTAGTATTTGATATACGACTTTTACAAAGATGATGGCGAGGGGGTGGATCAAATAAAATGGGTAAATAACAAAACCCGAAATTGTATAAAATGCATCTTAATATATATTTTAATTTTGGACACTCTAGCTTTAAAGATGTGGGAGATATAATTTTTTAACTGATTTTCGATAACGTTTTTATCGATAAAAAATATCGGTTGAGATATCGTTTTTTAGTGATAAACTTAATAGGCGCGCCATTTGAACATGCGGACATTAAAAAAAAAAAAAATTTGAAGTCTCTAGCTCTTATATCTTCTGAGATCGACGCGTTCATACATACGGACAGAC